AAAGACCTAGAGTGGCAGTCTGTGGGAGTAAGGTTTAAACACAGATACTCAGGATTCCAAGCTCTATGCCCTAACCACTAGGCCACCACTCCGCCAAAAGGCCAAAACACTAAAGTGTTCTCATATTTTTGCCAAGCTTTTAGAAGTAGCTATATACTGGTGTAGAAAAAAATCCAGGAGAAAAGAATGTATATTTATGTCAACTTTTTCTTAACTTTGATCATAGACTCTATTCTAAAATGTTTTCTTTTTCAGTCCAGTAAAAATTGTCATTGGTTTTGATAGGAAAAGCAATGCACTGATTTATGCATTGTAGTGTACCTTACTCTATAAATACATTTTCTGCACCGGCTGCATCCTGGACAATTTGTTTCTGTTCCACCCATCTCTTTTTCCTTCCTACAGCATTTCAATATTAAACAGCTCCTGTTTCTATTTTATATTTAGAGGGGTCTGTTGGTATCTTCCTTTAAAACAAATGATCAGATTGCCGCATTGTGACGTGGTACTAAGTCACCTGCAACTGTAGGGGCAGTTATACACCATTGCAGCAAGGTGACTATATTCTAAGGGTAGAAAAAAACAACGACTCTGATAATTGGTCTGTTCAGTTGGTGCTTACCCCTGGGAGGACGCTGGTACTTGTAAGATACTCCACTACCTCACCTGCTGTAAGTCAGGAAGCTGGTGATATATTGACAGGTATGGCTTCTGGTGCAAGATGTCTGGGTTGATGAGGTTGTTAAAGGCTGAGCTGAGGTCCACAAACATGTTTTAGTGTATATTCTTGGGTGGTCAATGTGTTACAGGATGAAATATAGTGATATAGATTCATTCCATCATCCTTTTTCCCAGTAAGCAAACTACTGGTGGTCCAGCAGAGGCCTGCGATCTTTAGGTGCAACAGCTTTAACACTCAAAAGATTTGATGACCAATAATGTTGGCTCGACATACCTGTAGTCATTTAAACATGTGATGTGCACTTCTTTAGAACAAGGATGATAGAGAGTTTAAAGCACAAGGGAACCTCCCACATCTCCAGACACTATTTGAACATGCGGGTGAAGATGAGGTTTACTTGGTCAGCATAGGTTCCTAGACAAGAGGGGGACACATTGTCAGGTTCTGGAGCTTCCAATGCTAAAGACGCTATATTTATCTTCAGAGATTGTGGGTCCTGGAAGGGAGAACATCTGCTGCTAGGGAGATTTGGAGCAGAGTGGAAACGAAAAAAGTATCATCAGGCATACTCATGAAGAGAAAAAATCTGTAGAAATTGGCAGATATCACCACTAATGGAACGAGGTAGAGTTTTTCTATAGAGCTTAAAATACTTGAACAACCTGCATTTGAAGGTATAAAAGCATAAATAAGATAAGATCAGATATGATTGACTTTGATATGATTGACTCAAAGAAGGTAACAAAAGGAGTAAAAGGTGCATGCGGTATATAATACTTCAAGGTGTTAACTGAATGACAAAAAGCAATAATCGGAAGAGCAAAGTAAAAAAGAGAGTTGTAGTGAAGTTTTTTTAGGCTGATGCTTGGCAGTAGGTTAGAGTGGATGAAGGGGGAGGGGGCTTCTATGGTTTAAGCATGTAAACAGATTATTACTAATCAGTGATCCTGGTTTTCCTGCACTGGGCTTTCTGGAGCCCACCCCCCAACTCAGCACAAAGAAAACAACAACAGCTTGCAGTGTGTGCTTTGACTTTGTTTGTTCCAGTTTATGTATGCATTTGTATATCTAGATGCATATTTCATGCACACAATCACTGAAATTTAATTTTCATGTTAAATACATGGGGTGTTAAAGGTATCCCTTATATTATCTGTATTGATCATTTCCATATGCAGTCATCAATATTCTAGATTCCACTGGCAGGAAATGCACAATTCGAGGCTACTTATTTTTTTCCCGCTGCCACGTTGGACCTTGTTATGCATCTTCTATTGATCAGGGCTTCTTACTGTATATACTCAGACTTAACTTGACTCAGCATAAAGCTACCTGACTGACACAACCTGTGCTTAAACCAAAAATCCTGATTATCACAGAGCTGAATAGGTTAATTCCAGATATCTGCTACTGTACTCTGCTACTCAGACTAAGTTTAGCCCATCATCAGAAATGAAGCACAGGAGATCCCATATTGTCTTCAAAGGGACAACATCTTGAGCCCTGTTTAGGACAGTCTTTCTTGGAAAACTGGAAAAGATTGGTTGTGTTGTACTGCTGTTTCAAACCACAATGGAACAATTTGGGAACAGGTGCCAGAGAGTGATGGATAGAAAATGTGACAGCTACTGTTGTGTAAACAGGAAAATGTAGTTGTTCCTAAAATGATCCCTGCCACATGCATAGTATGACTGAAATAAGTGGAAATTAATGCAAATTCACACAGGATAGTGGCTACCGACCAGTTTAAATCACACAGAAGATAATGAATTACCAAACAATTTTGGGGCTTTCTGAGTACTTTCTTATAGTGCTGACTTATATGGATATAACCCCCAGTTGGCCTCCAGCTTGGTTCTGCTGGAGGTTGCATCCTGTTAAAAGGGAGTTTTTCCCCTCAATTTTCACTATGTGGATGCTCGTTGTGAGGGATTGCTGTGGCGTCAATGGCTCAATGCAGTCAGCTGGTTTCCTTATATATAAAGCTATAAACCAATCTGACTGCACAGTATGATCTGATTAAATTTTCTATGTAATGGGCTTCGAGATGAAGTGTTGTGAATTGGTGTGATATAAATAAATTTGAGTTGAACTGAATTAATGATGGTTCTTCAACACAGATTTTCTCAGTTCAATTCAGATTATTTAAATATCTATATTTATATAGATGTACTGTATAACCATACAACTAAAAAAATCCACCAAGAGAGATAGTTTGTTGTATATGTACTGGCTGAAAAGTGTGAGACCAAGACCTAAGCCCTGTGGTACCCCAGTTTTTACCATAAGAAGGAAAGATTTTTCACCACCAGTAACAACCAGCTCCGTCAGGTGAGGACTTGATCAGCTCAATAAATATACAAGAATAATTAATGAGGATGAGAAGAAAACTTTAAACCATTTAACCAGACATTGTATTTGACTGCACAGTGTTTCTTCATGGATGTGTTACCAACTTCCTAAGGACTGTGAGAAAAACCCAGATAAAATACTAACTGGCCTAATTACTCACCAAATTAGCCATTCCAGATTTGAAGATAAACAAAATCCATTACTTCCTTCAGTCTCTTCTTGGATTTTGAGTTCATTCCCCTTTTTTCTGTGTAAGAAGTTCAGTCCTTGTTTTCATTCCATACCCAACAATTGACCCAATAATTAAACACAAAGAGCCTTATCTTCAAAAGGATTCATTTCTTAAAACACTATAAACCTGTTTGCACGAGCAAAGCAGATAATAAACGTTGGTTCAAAGCTATTTACCAATGCATTTCAGCAGGCAGTGTATGAAACCTTTTTTAGTGGGTTTGTCTTTATCAGCATGCATATGATATTCTAATGACAAGACTGTGCAAATGTATTTGTTATGAATATGAAAATGTACATCTTTACCACATGCAAAGTGGTTTTTAACTCTGAAACTCAAACACAGCCTAATTTTTTTTTCATTTTTGAAAGTCAGTGGAAATTTCCATGCAAACATTTCTGTGGTTATGCCAAATAATAGAAAAAGACGTGCGTATTTGGACCAGAGATAACAATAGTGAAGAAACAAACATATACACAATAATTGAAACACTGTACTTTGGCATATTTATAAAAAAAAAAAAACATATTTGAATTTGAACAATTATCACAGAGCATCCATCACAAGCATATAAAAGGACTTTTAGGTAACGCGCCTGAAAGTGCACATCACCTACTTTTGGCAGGAAGAATTTTTTTCGCCCCCTTAATGTTCTTTAATAGTCTTCACATGAAGAAAGTTTTATTTAAGTAGTATGGGCATCCCTTCTTCTGCAGTATACTAGGTTAAGCTGCCATTGAGGTGAGTTTTTGGAGGTAAGACAACACAAATGCAACTTTATTTTATATATTATAGTTTTATACTATTTAATCTTCCATATATATAATTTAAATTTATTTTCATCATTTCATTTTTTTACTTTTGTTCATAGCACTGATATAGGTTATGTAATGTGCACTATAAACACAGTTTAGTTTAGAATTATCATTATTTTCTAAATAATCATTGTCATTATTACCTCAAACTACATAGCTCAGAAATCTTTTTTAAGTCAGTTCCAAAGCTGCAAGTATCTCAAGCAATCTGCAGCTCAATCTGCTCAGTTTGGTTACAAACAAAGCTGGTTTATGCATCTTACATTTTTTGTAGGTTCAATGCAACAAACCCACTTTTTGCACAGCCAAACTAATTTTGCTTGTGCAATGTGGTGTTTTCTTTTTTTGTCTTTGGAATCTTTACATACCTATTTCCTATAAAGGTTTGAGATATCTATTCCTTACAACTAGTAACACCTTATATACTGAATTCTAGTCTTTAGGACAAGTTTTATTTAAACTCTTTTACACTTTTTTTCTTCTCTTCTACAGTTTGTATTCTATTAAGTATCCATGCAGTGCTCCAGACTCCTCACTTTTTTGACATTTCTGTTCTACTGTCTCACGTGACAACCAAAGCCAAATGAGATGAAAAAGCATTTTTTTTTTTTTCAATGTTGTCTCAGTGAGAAAATGAACAGCAATCTGGTCTTTGTTCATCAGGTCTTCCTTTTGTTGCAGCCCTGACTTTAAAGTCTCTTGAGTGTCTAGAGCAGCTCTGCACTAAGGAATACTCATCAAAGTTTAATTAAAGCACTTTACTCAATGAACAAGTGTGCTTTCGCACATTAGGCTATAAACCATTATTCTAGCAGCCATGTCAGCCTACTTTTCAGGCTGAGACTAAAAACAAGAAAATGTGAATTTGTCTTTCAGGTTCTCCAACAATGAAATTTTTATATTTGTGGTTTTGTTGCAGACTTGGTGTCAGCCACCAATACTACCAATGTAAACATCCCTCAGATGGCTGACACACTGTTTGAGCGATCCACCAATGCCAGCTGGGTGGTCGTTTTCAAGGCCCTTACCACCACTCATCACATATGTGTCCATGGCAATGAGGTAAGTAAATGTCTTTTGTAGCACATGTGGAGCCGAGGATGTTAGCTGCTAATAATGCTAATAATTTTGGGATCCTGTCCAGATCATGAGCTGAGAAGACTCGTAGAACTAGGTTAAATAGATTAAGCATAATTAAGGTTTATTAATACTTTGAGAAGCAGAGCTTTACAAGACAGATTTTACAAGGACGAGGAATACTGTGACATATTAAAGGGGACTTATGCTAAAAAATTTATTCTTTTCTATGTAACTCATTCATTTTTAGTCTATTTAAAGTGGAACAGTATTGAAGCCCTCTTTTTAGCCTGTTCTGAGGTGCAGCTAAGGTGAACTTTTTTTGTTGCAATCTTGATAAATGCAAATTAGGCAACTTACACCCATTCAAGTTGTAGATCGTTCCACTCCAACAGCCATTTTTTAATTTTAATTGCAGAAAAACTGGTCTATGGTTAAATGAATTGTGTGGGTTATTACTGTACACCTGAAAATTGAACATGTGAACTTTAACAACAAAATTGCGGCAAGGAATAAAAATGGTGGAAGTATGGAATTGATAAGCTGGAAGTTCCTTAGCAGTTCTGCTGCACAGTAGTGTGAAGTTGTTATTCAAAAACATACTGTAAGAGGGAATAGAGAAAAATAAGCAGATTAAAAAACTTTACCCCAACAGAATATAGATATAGCTGTGCAGCATCTTCAGAGATTGGAATAAACTTTTCTGAATTCCTTGAAACTCCAAGTATACAAGAATGTATTTGAGAGCCAGAAAAGTGATTTTTGCTTATGTCCACTTTAATTTAGCTTGAACACATGCCATAAAAACTCATAAGGTGTATAGATGTCATGAAATAAAGGTGGATGATCACTGTGTCCATGTTTGATTATAACATGTTTTGCTTTTGATATCTTTTTCAGAGATTCATTCAGTATTTGGCTTCCAGGACTTCCTTGTTCAACCTCAGCAATTTCATTGACAAAACTGGCTCTCATGGTAAATAAATACAAAGCCAAAAGATAAAGATGTTTTTTTTTTCTCTCTTATTAACATGCTTTTTTAAGATAAACAAGGTATATGAAATTAAGCCTTGACATTTAAAATCAGTTAATGTTTTCATGGACACACAGCTCACTGGCCGTGGCTGACATAAAATAATATAAAACTATCAGCAAAAGGATGTTGGATTTAGTCAGGGGTTAAATTGAAATGCTGTAGCTGAGTCCCCAATCAGACACGTCATACTGGTCACCATCACATTTTTGGATTAAACAAAAAGAAGAAAAAAATTGTTACTAATATCCAGAAAATACATATTTTTAATCTGTGAAAACACATTAAACATTATACGGATCAAGGCCCTATTCATAACTGTATTTAATTCAGTGCTACAGTGAAAACAATTTTGCCCAATTTTCAGATGCAAATATTTGCATGCAAATTACCAATCTGGTGACATTTGAGGAAATGTGTAATGCAAAACACATTTGTCTCACCATAAAATCTCCTAAGCATTAAATCAGTAAGCTTTTTAGATTTTTCTAAGCTTATTATCTCCTAATAATGTTCTGGTCAACTTAAATAAGTGAATTTCATAGTTTTGTTCTAAATCCCATTTGACCAAATGTATTCATGCTTTCTAAATCTTAAATATCTAAAAAGCACAGTTTTAGGTCCAATGCCAAATCTTTATAAATCATTGACATTTGAATTAAGAAATAACAAAAACCCCTCCACCTCTCTCTGGTGTCTCATTCTAATCTATGTGTGTTTAGGCTATGACATGTCTACATTCATCAGGAGGTATGCACGGTACCTGAATGAGAAAGCCTTCGCCTACCGCCAGATGGCTTTTGACTTCACCAGGGTCAAGAAAGGGTATGTTGGAACAACACCTTAGACTTCACAACAGATTTGATCAATTTACTTCTCCTAAGCAATCATTTCAGTTAAAACATTATACACAAGCATCTAGCACTTAATGTCAAACCAAAGTTTGCATTACTTGTATTTTGGTGGCTTTAAACGGTTCCCACAGAAACTTTTAGTTACAAGGTAAACACAGAGCTTTTCAACTGTGATGTAGAACTAATATAAAACTGATGTAAAAAGCACAAATTATGAGTTCAAGCAAAACTTTACCTTAGCTTTAGGCAAAAATCAAAACCAGGAAAATGGAGAAAAGTGGAGAATTAAAAAAAAAAAACACTCGTTTAAATTGAAGCATAAAACATAGAGAAAATGTTCTGATGGTTATTTATTTATGTATTTTTTATGGAGTTGGATCTGAGATTAACTTTTAAAGTTCAAGTTTGAAATTTAAAAAACATCTGTATATGTTAATTAGGCTTTTTTCTATGTTTAAAAACTACCGGTAAGGCTTATATAGGCTAACTGGGTGTGAGGAACCGAGCCAAAAAATCAGAGAAGCACAGGAAGTCATTGATGAAAAAATGGCAACAAATTTATTTAGCAAAAATATAGTTCAAACTTCAGACAATACTGGGTCCATCAAAGAAAACAAATGACAAAAATCAGTATAATCCAAACCTGACACAGGAAAATACCTACCTAACTGACACACAAGGGAAACATATATACACTGGTTGATCAAACCATTTTGAAACATGAGGGAAACATAAAATACATTTTCCTGAAAAAAAAAAACAACAACAAAAGAGCAAATTAATCAGCACCATACTAAATCAGCAACCTATGAGGAAGAGGACTTAAATTTTAAACTTTCCAAATTTAATTATAGAAAACAAAACCAAATACAGAAACCTAAACCCTTCCTAAACCCCTTCTAAAAGTAAGTGGAAGAGTCCAACTAGGCCTCCATGTCAATGAGGAGATCCTTTGCAACTGGGGCCTCCTTTCCTTTACTGGCTTCACTCATAACAGCCTCCCAGGAACTGGCAACTCAAATGAAAAATATATTAATGTACAGCAAACCAAACAAGCAAGAAATGACAAAATGAGTCAACTAAATGCATGCACCCAAATAGTTAACCAATGCCAAATCAAAGTAAAAAAAAAAATCAAATACAGTACAGTAAAATATAAGATTTAAAGAAAGAATTACCTGACCATTTGTTGTGTGGTTGCACATGCGGCCATCACACTAGGGTTGAATAGTGCTGTTTGCATATTAAAGGGAGTGGGATATAAATGATTAAAATAATTACTTTATTATCTAGGTAATTGTTATTGTGGGAGAAAACATTTTGGTATGTAGAAAAGATAAATCTTACTTTGAATTTGGGGCACTTCCTGTGTAATCATTCTGTTTGGAACTTAATTTTTTTTTATCTTTTGAGTGAAAATTATCTTGACAAAGGTCTTGAATGGGCCTACATAATTAAGGAGTTAATGCCTGAAAAGGATTTTAAACCCCTGACCTACAGGACTGTTGATTAAGAACATCAAATTTCTTCATTTATTTGTGTTTCTTAAAAAAAAACGCTATACACGTATCACTTGGAAACAAAAAGGGGGTGCTTGGAAGGCTTATAATTTTCTCATGCATTGTTTGTCATCAAATGTCTGAGAACATCTGTTTTAGCAAAGTTTTGTTTTCTGTGAAATAATCTTTGTTGGATCTTCTCAGTGCTGAGGGAGTGATGAGAACCATGACCACTGAGAAGCTGCTGAAAGGCATGCCTGTTCTGCAGACTCAGATCGACACACTTCTGGAGTTTGATGTATGTATTCATACATTGATGTGCAAACCTTGTGTCTGTTCCATGGAGTTTCTATTTTATCAGCCTGAACCTGTCTTGCTTTAGGTTCATCCGAAGGAGCTAAACAATGGGATCATCAATGCTGCCTTCATGCTTCTCTTCAAAGATCTGGTGAAGCTGTTTGCATCCTATAACGATGGAATCATCAACCTGTTAGGTCAGTGTTCAGTGCATAAGGAAGTAATTGCTTTGTAAGAATGATTATAAATTAATTTCATGTTGTTTGTCTCTGCTTTTAGAAAAATTTTTCAAGATGAAAAAAAGTGATTGTAAGGAGGCCTTGGAGATCTATAAGAGGTTCCTGACCAGGGTGACAAAAATTGGGGAATTCATGAAGCTGGCTGAGGTAAGTTCAATCTACTGTATATTCCCCAGCATCAGGAACACTGAAAATTCTTTGTACATCTGCTTCATATTATGCTTCTACCCTCACAGACAGTCGGAGTGGACAAAAACGACATTCCTGACATCAACTATGTAAGTTACCTTTTATCAGCAGTCAAGCTTCTTTGTGTATTTATCGCTCGTAGGAATGATGAGGATCAGGCACGTTATGCAGATGAATGCCCTTATTCCCGATTTAGACCCAAACAAAAAGCCTTACAGAAGCCTGTGGCTCACCCCACTATCTCCCCACCTAGTGTCTCCACCCTGGGGTGGTGGTGGATCTAGCTGACTCAGACGACGAAGACTGCCCCTTTAGATCCCTTGAGGACCCGGTAACCACAGAAACAAAAGGGTGCCCTGACTGCGTGCCTGTTTAATATCAGGATGAAGTTTTGGCATGTGGTGCCTCATATGATTTGATGTATTTTCATACATGCATGTGTTGGAGTGGGACTTAGCTTCTTTTTTTGTGCTTTACACACTCAGAGTAACTCTTCAGTAGGACAGCTGATAAGGGGACTTGTTAGTAACTTGCTTTGATTTCTTTTGTTAGGCTCCCAGCAGTATCCTGGAGTCTCTGGAAACACACATGAATGGTCTAGAGGATGTAAAAGGTGGAAAGAAAGGGTAATTATTAAAGAAATTATTTAATCAAAAATTATTAAGAAATGCATAATGTATAGTTATTTTGGTTGATATTTTTAAACTTTCTCATTCTTCTTTCTGTTCCATGAATGTAATACTGCATAAAACTCACAAAAGCAGTTCAACGTTAGTAAGAAGAAACTGTGAGATTTGGATGCAATTTAGATTATATGCTGAAAATTAGTTTGGTGAGGATTAAAGTAGCTGGCATGGTTAGAATTGGTGCACAGGTAATAACTGGACTACTGCAGCTATCAAAGCCGTTGGAAATGAAATATTTCAAAGTTGCAGTCTTGAACCAGTCATAAATTCAAGATGGACACACAATTTTGTTTTTATTCTGTATTATTTATTTATTTTTGTTTTATATATATATATATATATATATATACACACACATATAAAATAAAATTTATTAGGTAATGAAAAAACATTTTATAACATCAACATTTAAAGTTAGCAAATCTCCAAGAGTCCCCCGTTATTTTATAATATTATTAGAAACTAATATAGTAGAGCATATTGGATTTTAAAAAGTTTAGCATAGTTTAAAAATAGACAATTAAAAACTATATCTTATATTTCAATCATACCAAAGAAATACTATTAAATTATTAAATTATTACTTATTAAAATATTAAGATAAATAAAAAAAAAAAAAAAAGTATATTTATTTGGCTGAAAGCTTTAAAATAAAATAACAAAATAGCATCGGAACGGAATAATTTTAGTTTGTGAATTTTGTTATGAAGGCATTCTTATCTGATATTACAAAACAGTTTTAATATTTTCTCAGGAGATCATCATGTCCTTTGATGATCTTTTTTTTTTAGTGCTATGGTAGCAAGGTGTTAATATGCTTTTTATTGATTTATCATGTTTCGGGATAAAAATTTTACAAAAAACAATATAATATATATACACAATCTTTAACTTTTGCTCTTTTTTATTCTCTTTTGTGTTGATTTGGAATCACCAGTGAAGGGTGAGCAGATATTATTGTTTTTGTTTGAAGCTTATTCATTGCTTAACGACTATCTACATGTATTTTCTGTTCTCAATCCACCAAACGGTACATTTTCACATTCTTCACATGTGAATTATATCTTGTCAGAATTTTGTCAGATTTAAATCTAAAAATCAAAGACAAGATAAGCAATTGTTCTCCAGATGCCAGCCGGAGAGGCTTCCGGGAAAATTCCCTGAATTGAGACAGCTTAGTAAATTCTATGTATAGTTCTCAGAGGTTAATGCCCAGAATTTACTTCACATGTGGAAATGTGTCTTGGTGCTGTGATTAAATATGTGGTCTCTAAGAAAGACACATGTTTAAATAAGTTGTAAACCACCTGTAATGCCATTTAAAATGTGAATCAGTGTGTGAAGAGTTTTTTTTTCCCAAAGTTAACTTATCTAAAAACTTAGATTGCTTATTTTGTTGAGTTGCATTCAAGACACAGCATGTCACTTTGGAAAATAACTCTTCATACTGTAGGATCACATTTATTGTAATGTGTACTGGGTATATTTTAGTTACCTGGCTCAAAAAATATCCATCTATTTTTCAATTTTATTACTCACAATTCTCTTTTTTCCTCCACATTCAGGTCTCCAACAAAGGTGAGAAATCCTTCTTTAATGAATGCTATATTGTTTTGTTTTTCTATTTCTGTCTGCTGTACTAACTTGAAAGAGTTGTTGTATTACTTAGGGGTCTCCAACAAACAATGTGTCTCCAACATCGACTCCAGCCAAATCTTCAAATGCCGTTCCCACACTGCAGCCGCCTCCTGGGGACAGCGCTGCAGCAGCTGCCGCTGCTCCTGAACCAGCTGAAGAGTAAGTTTACTCTTTGCTCTCTTCCATCTCACTTTTTTCTTTTATTTGACATCAGCTGGTGGTGTTTTTAGTGACAGACACAATGGCTTAAATGTTGAACGAGTTCTTGTAGTGTGAATTAAGTAAGTCAGCTGACAAGCAAAGCAAAAGAAGAATGGCTTCATTTTGGAAGAACAAATATTACACAATAAAGTGTAGCATCATAGAAAGTAAAGGAACTTTTTAAGTCTTTTATTTTCTGACACGCAAACCTCAGGTAATATTTTTAAAATTATGCCTTTTCTCTGATTTGGAAAAAAAATGTGTCTGCTCAGACATTTCTGCTTTTCCTTTACTGCAAAAGTTTACTGTTAGATATAATCAAATGATTTTCAAAATGTCATGTCTTTGAATTTAGAAAAAATATTTATATTAACTTAACCCTCAACTGTTTAGCCACATACTTATTGTGGGGTTAAAAGTTCTTTATTCTAAAAAACGTTCCAGAAGAAATTAATCCTGATGGGTTTTTTTTTGTTCATTAGCTCTTTATTGGATCTGGATCCTCTGGCCTCCACTGGTCCCTCAGCACCATCAGCTGCACCGACATCTTGGGGAGGTGAGAAATGATCAAAGCAATCATTCAACGTTTATTTATGTAACATTTTTCAATGCTCTAGACACTCATTTAAGTGCTTTATATGTCTGTAAGGGGTCTGGAAAAATATATTTACATAAAAATCTACTCTCTTACCCACCCGTCATACTCCTGGGTGGGGTGGGTGGTTCCTTCATCTCAAGCTTGGGTTGTCAACCAGGGCCTTGAGGGTTCTTAGCAGTATCTTAGCTGTCCTATGAACTGCTCTCTTTTGGACTGAGAGCTCTGATGTTTCTCCAAGTATCTGTTGGAGCCTTTTTTTCATGTGGGGGTTACTGCCCCCAGTGCTCCAGTGACCAAGGCACTGCTGTTGTCTTCACATTCCAGGCTCTCTCTAGTTCTTCCCTGAGGCCTTGGTATTTTTCCTGTTTCTCATGTTCTTTTTTCCCCGGATGTTTCCATCTTTTGGGACAGCCACGTCAATCAGCTGTCTCCTGCTGCTTATCAATAATCACAATGACCGGTTGGTGGGCCACAACCACTTTGTCTCTTTGTATCTGGAGATCCCACAGGACCTCAGCCTGTCATTGGAGAGTGACAGGTGGCTCCCATTTTGACCTGGGATCTCCAGTTTGTATTCTGAACAGATGTTTCTGTACACTATACCATCCACTTGGTTATGACTTTCCATGTATTTCTTTCCTGCCAGTTTTATACCCTGGTGTGAGGATTGTTTATGTGGCCTTTTTGCATAGACTGCACTTGGGATCTTGTATATTGTATCGTAACATACTTAAATAAATGCAAAAGCTCTGAACAGTTAAATGGTCTGTTGAGTAGGCTGGAGCAAGACTATGCATGGTCTTAAAAACAAAAACCAGGCCCTTTACATATCGTAAAGTGTAATGGGAGCCAGTGGAAAGATGTAGCTACATTGTGGACCAGAAGCTTGTGGAGGATGGAGTATAATGAAATGTATTACAAATGTTCAGCCTTGAACTAAAGAAGATATTAATTCCATCTTCAATATTTGGCCATAATAGAAAAGGTTTCGCTTTTACTCAGAGACTCATTAGGGGAAAATGCTCTCAGTAGTTAAGTTAACCATTTTGTTAAATTTAAGTGCATTGTCTAGCATAAGACCAAGGTTCCTCACGGCTGAAGTAAAAGGCAGGTAAGAACAGCGAAACTTAGGGGTATACCAATAGAGCTTGGGACTGAAAAAAAAAGTTTTCCCTTTATTTTGGTGCAAAAAATTCTGTAACAGCCATTGCCTGATATCAGACACACACTTCCAACAAGTATTGCTATCATTCAGTTGTACTTGCATGTAAATCTGTAAATCATCAGCAGTAATTTACAGGTAGAACTTCATTAGTAGAAATCCTCTATACTCAAACAAGCTTGAACAACCTGGCTGCATATATTCCATTTCGACTAATAACTGCAACTTGCAGGTAAAAAAAAATAAATAAAATATTCCTGCTTCTTGAATGTCTTTGAGGACTTAAAATTAATCGACTTTAGAGCGTTTGTAAATGAATAAACACATGTAAACTATTTTGGTATCTAATTTAGGAACCATTCGCACTGAATTTAGTCTAACAAAATACATTTTTTATTTTTCTCTTCTCTGTTTTTTGTTCATTTTGCCTCCATAGATCTGCTTGGATCAGGTGAGTGTCTCCATCCTCTGCGTTTAACCTCTAATCTTTCCAAGGATGGTTTAGTAGTAAATAATCTCAAAGAATATCTTAATTTTAAAAACACTAATATTGAGTGAAAGTGACATTGAATCAATACAAGTATTTGAGATGAAATTAATATTAAACATGGCCTTAGGGTAGTACCAATGTCTCATGGTTACCTCCCTGTTTGTCTCCTTAAGCTGTTCTTTTTAGTCTGAGTACTCTCTTTTTTCTCTTTGCCTTCTCTCTCTCCCCTCCCTCCACATACTCCATTGTCTGTTTCTGGTATAAAATGGGGGCTATGTTTATTATTTGACTATTTTTTTTTAATATACTGGTTTTAAACTGGCTGGTCCTGGGAATGTTTGTACTTTTTTTTGTCATTTGAATCTAAATTATATAAAATGGTTTAATTTGATTGGAAATGTGTTTTACCTTTTTTATTTTTTTCTTCTGTGTCACTTTGGTGACCCTTTGGTCATTTTGGTTGCTCCCTTTGGGATTTATTTTTGCTGCCTTTTTTGGGGGGGATTTGAAACACACGTACCCCACTGGCAGAAATGGGCGATTCCTTGCTATCTGAAACCCAACTCGCCGCAGAGGCCGCCCCCTCCCCTGCAGCAGCAGCACCCACTCCTGCAGCGGCAGAACCCAACGTCTCTCTAGCTCCTCCTACTAGCACAGCAGCCGCCACTTCCCCCGGTGCCACCAATATGGATCTGTTGGGAGGTCAGTGGGCTTCCAGAAAATTCTCTGCAAAGGAATACCTCTGGGAAGCTCGACCCTAAAACCCATTTCACAGCACAAAAACACAGACAGTGTTAACCACATTAAGCATGAACAGCAAAAGTATTTGCCCCCTTCCAGATTTCTTCAGTTATCTACATTTTTTTAATGTTTAATTTTATATTTTCAGAAAAAAAAAGTTTCTATAGAATAACAATAATATGAAAAAAAATCAAGATTTTAGTTTTTTAAAATTTTGATTTCATTTATTAAGAAAAATGCAATCAAACTGGCGTTGAGATAAGAATCAATCAGGTTTTCCTATGGCCTCACAGTCTGTATTATTTTTATGTTTACAGTTTTAAATCAGATGTAATTGGACACTGCTTAAAGATTACTCTTTAGATTACATTTTGTATTATAAGTCTATAGAACAAGGTGTAAAATAGTCCTTTATGTTTCTGTGTTCAGCACTAGTCGTTGCAGAGGAAATCCCCATGGATCACATTTTCCCCAGCCTCACTTTATTGTCTTATGGCTTAAATCATAACTGAGGCCTGTGGTTCATTTAAATGTTGGTCAAGGCTTCTTTGTGTTCTCCTTTATATATAAACCTATTTTTTTTTTATTGGTTTGTTTCTGATCTTTTCTTTATTTTTTTCAGATCATGACTTTTTTTCTTAATTAATGAAATCATCTTTTGAAACCTGCAGTATTTAATTTCCTAATAACTTTTTTTTTGATATTCAAATATATTTAATCATCTAAAACATTTAGATGTTCCAAAAAAAAACTCCAATCACTCCTATAGAATAAAATAAATTAACAAATCTAAGGGGATAAATACTTTTTCACTGCTTTATAGGTTGAGAAAATATTTTGCACAATGCAAACAAATCACCCAAAACAGCCACTATTATCAGCACTGATGCACGTTCGTCTCACTATAAGATACTGTTTGCTTTATTATGTACCCATTAATAATTTGAGGTGGTTAAAGGTTTTGTAGAAAAGGTAGCTATAAACTTGTGCGCAGATCATTTGATCTAGAATCTGCACATTCTGTACATACCCCCAAAATTAAACAAATAGAATAAAGCAGTTTGACAATGGAAATATTTACTCAGTTTGACTTTTAATGTATAAGCAACCGATGAATAATTGTGCTTAAAGTTACATTTAAAATTTCTGGCACTAGTTCACTTGTATCAGCCTGGAAATGGTTACAGCACTAATAATTGGTTGCTACCCTCAGCTTTATCGTACTATTTATTCTATGAAGTTTAAAGAAAAATTCCAATAGTCCGAATTAAGATTTTTCCCCAAACAAAAACTGAAAATCTGCTACAGTAATGTTCAACATCATTGCCAATTTATACTTCATAAAATTAGTTGCCATTTTTTGTACACTATCTATTTGTAAATATGAATAAATGGTAAAAGGTGCATCATTGTTTATTGCAAATACAGTAGCAGCTGTTGAATCAGAGATTCTTGGTGTGAATATGTGAAACAAATAGTACTAGAAATGCACTCAGAGAGTGCAGACCTTTAGCCGAATCATTTGTTGTACCTTCTATGAAAAGTTTAGCAAAGTCTGTACAACTTTTTAGTCTTTCTGAGACTAAAAAGTTGTACAGACTTTTATAGTCATTCTGAAAACAGACAGGCAGACAAACCAATGGTAAAAACATAATACCCTTTGGCAGAGGTAAAAAAAAAAAAAAACCCATAAAGTTGTGTCAGATGCAAAGAAATAAAAATTAAAAAGGCTAACTGGATTTCAGTTTAACTAGAATTGCAGAGAATTAAAGCAACTACATAAACTGTCAGTACTCGGGAGGTTAATATAAAAGAAATCTTTTAGTAGTAGTCCCTAGCAAATTAATGTATAGCATCACATAAACCCATTTATGTTTTTCATTAAATTTATTCTTTTTTAACTTACTGTGCAACTATTCCAATAATAAACATGTTGTCAACAATACAACTATTCTTCTCCTTTTTATTATTGCTATTATCACAAATCACTCTTCCTTTAGAAACCTAACACACTTAGACATGGCTTGCCAACATCTTTCCAAATTCATCGTCATATGCATCTTGTTTGATGAGCTGGCATGCTTTTCTGTAACTTCATTGAAAAGCAATGCTTTAAAACCCTCCAATGTGGCCCCAGCTACAAATGGCACCTGCAACATAAGTGGCTTTTTCTGATCTTTGTGCTGTAGATAGATCTTTGTGTACTGCCTCCTGTCTGTATTCCCATTTTTCTATTCACCTTTCCGTCACTCATGTTATGCACTGCTGTTTTTACTGTTCCACTGCTGTTTTTTACTGTTACACTCGGAAAAAAACAACAACAAAAGAAATAAAACAAAGGGTTAATAATCTTCACATGCAAAAGCTCTAGGCAGGGCATGTCCAGTCTGTCCTCATGGAGCTGTCCTACAGGTTTTCATTATTCTCTGGCACAGCTGACTAAGGTGACTGGAGTTCAACAAAAGTCTGTTAATCTGCTATCAATGAAAATCAGTTGTACAGAAGTAGTAAAACCTCTAAAACCAGTAGGGCAGCAGCCCCCAAGGACCTACTTTGGACATGCCTGCTAAGCTCTTATCTTTGTTTTTCTTAATAGTCTTTTTACCTTCAAGTATCGCTTGACTTTTTCCTTTTCTTCTTTCATCTATACTCCTGTCATCTTGCCATCTATTGGCATTTCCACCCCTGGGTTGATGCAAACGTCAGACGCCTTTGCTACTCCTGCTCCTTCCACTGAGGCCACCGCTGCAGCAGAGGGTGGGGCTGCTGCTTCATCTGCCCCAGCCACTAACTCTGGAGCTGGTGGGTGACAACAAATCAGAGTATCTGGATCTGCTTGAGTGTGAATGTGCCAAAGCTGGTGTATAACCTAATCTGTTTCATTAATGAAGTTTCCATATTTATATTTAAGGTTTTCTCAGTGTTTTAATAGGACTGTAATGGTTTTATTTTTTTTTTTTTTTACAATAACATGCTTTATAAAACCCTTGAAGATATCTACATGCTTTATGGTTCTTGGCAAGAATACCTACACTTAATGATCCAATTAAGCTCTTAATAACCTTGCAAAGTCTGGTGCATTTCTGGTAAATGCTCACAAAAAGCACAGTTGGAAGATATTTAATATAAAGCCAAAAGTATATTTGTTAAGGTTGAATGATAAACTTTGACTCAAAATATTAATGCATTTTGACCTTTTTTGCTGATGGTATTACTAAATGATTAAAAATGCAATATTTCTTACAGAGCATCAGCATCACCCTTTAGCCATTCTCTATAATTGTTTTTGTGTGTGTGTATATATACATTTTTTAAGTTAATAACTATTTTTGCTTCTGAGAAGTCATTTTGGAACAGAAGAATTTAGGTATTGCAAACTTTGCTTTGTCGTTATGTAGGCAAAGTAATCATATCGGCTCACGTATACTGCACGTATGTCTAAAGTATTTTTTTACATCTTTTTTATGGAGAATCTGAACCTAGCTGGATGTAAATAGTAGTGCTAACATCACTTTTACAGAAAACGCTAGTGTGGATGTGAAACCTTTCTTTTTTTACTTGTGGCTCGTATCTAAGAAAATACTTGAAGGAGTAATGAAATTGTTTGGCATCCACTGGCTAGTTAAAATAGTTGTCTCTAATGTAGACTGAACATGGTTTTTGGGTGCGTTGGTGTGCAGAGGTATGTGTGTTTGGTCACCTGAATTTTAAAGACATTGCTTTTTCCTTATTATCTAGAAACAGAAACACAAATGCATTTTACTTCAGGTTCTTGACATATTGCTCCTCTTGAACAGATAACAAGAAGGTAACTTTTCAGGAAATCGAAACATCTTGTTTCTAAAAGTAAATTATAAGCTTTAATAAAAATTATTTCCTTATTGAAACTTCTCAAAGTAAATATTTCTGTAAAATTCCAGATAGATTGATTTGTGTGTTTTTATTTTTACATTAAAACAAAAATGACGAACAATTGAGGAATAAAGATTGACATAGTTATATATTCCTCATCAAGGACAACCATTTGGCATGTCTAGCTTTACAGTTTCGTGGTTCCTTTTTGTGCTACTATCGCAGTTACCATTTTGTTTGTATTTTTTCCAATTCCTTTTAGCTCTAAATATTCCCATTGCCAGCTGGAGAGTGTTAGATTTCTCCATATTTTCCTTTCCTCTTATTCCTTTCATGGTTCTTTTTACCCTATAGGTTTTTGGGAACTACACACTTTTCATCATGAGTGTCAGAGAGCAGCACAATGAATGTGAAAGTTCTACAAACTTTAAAGCATTATTGGTTAGATATGGATTCAAACGAGTTTGGTGTGACCTTTATCACCACCTTAAACTGCCGTAATTTTTCAGCCAGAGTCAGTGTCCTATAAATCATCTGTTTTGTTTTAAAATCATTGTCTAACATTGCCTCTTCCTCTCCATATGTTGAATTCCTTAATCCCCAAAGACCCTTTTGCCCCGTCAGACGACAATACCAACGCTGCATCTTCAAAACTAGATCTTTTTGGGATGATGACAGTGGAGAACAGTAGCTCACTGGACGTCTGTTTTAGCTCTATGGAGACTCAGCCCTCCCCTTCCCCATCCCCCTCACCGCTCTTCACTTCCACATCCACCACCACCACTGCCACCATTTCAGGCTCCGACATCACCAGCCCTGCGACTGACCTCTTTGGTGGTAAACTTGAGGCATATGATTGGTTTTGTGTTTAACACCTTCCTTATCTCACTGAACTGATACAGCTCTGATAAATCTCCCCTCCACTGCCTGGTAATCCCTTACAGTTTATGGCTGTTTTCTGCATTCAGTTCCAATGAAAAGTTTAGATACACTCAGAAGTTGCATTAATTTCATATCAAATTGAACTCTTTTTAGAATGGAATGATCATAGCATACACAATTAAATTCATTACCTGTGTGTGCTAGTATTAAGCCAATGAAAAATGTTTTGAATCGACCTTTCTTCATCATAAGAAAGGTCAGCATGAAAAAGGCGTCATTATGGTTGGTATAATGTTTAAAGCCTTAAACGGACTGCTTCAAACATTCTTCTGTCGTAGTAGCAAAAAAAGCTACTCCTTCGTCTTCGAATATAACTTTTTGGCCAAACAAAAAACTGCAAACTAAAGTAAGGCCACAAGGTTTTTATTTAGATAAACAGTTTGGCTTCTTGGTTTTTCACCTTCTCAGCCCATGTGGACTTTTAACTTGTTTACCTCTGGACACTGAAATGGTATTCAAGTCATGACAAGTTTGAATATTGGGAGGGTGGTTGGCACCTAAAAGCATAGTAAAATGATCAATACATTTAAAGTTTCTATATCATATAATTTTTTGTAAGAGTATTTTACTCTAAAAAAATTAAGTGCACCAAAATGTATATGAAATTCAAGCAGACGATGAGTGTCTTTTAACTGTTCATTGTCACTGTATGTTTGTTACTTTGCTTTTTGTGAGCCTCATCAACAGGTTTAGAAATAAAAAAGTATTTTTTTCTTTTTTGTCTTGGTATGCATGCCCTCATAGATATGTTTGACGCCATGCCAAACTCAAGCCTCTCAAAAACGGATCCCTTGCCCAGCACTGACTTGTTTTCTGCAGGTACCCTTCTGCATCGAAGTTTGCAATCTTGCGTGCATCTTCCTGTTCTCCAATATCTTCATGCTGTGTTTGCTTTCAGATTTGTCCTTGGCTTTCATTAGGGAAAAGGCTATTTTGCCATCTTATAGATTGGATAAAAGCTATTGAGCTGTTTAAAGCATTTACTTTTGTTTCTTACCTAATTTCCGATTCGAGCATGTACTTCTTGCCCTAAAGGTGCAGCTAATGCATCATAATAAATGACAGTGACTGCTCTGAGTGCATTTGTGCAACTGCGTGTTGGGGTCTAAACATCATCTCCACCTTGCCTTCTCTAGCCGATTTGTTCAGCCCCCCTGCTCCTATCCTCTCCTCTGCACCACCCAAAATTGACACAGGAGGCATCATGAGCTTGTTTGGTGGTGGGTAACGCAGATGACAGTCTGCCCTCAATCTGTCTCCATGGTTCTTGAAAACAACATCAAAGAAGATAAGGGTGTAAAGTGAAATCCTGTTTTATTTACTCTAGTATGGTTACAGCTGCAGAATTTGCATCTATTGCCTGTACTTATGCTTCTGCTTTGAATGGGGGTCATAATTATAGTTTATTTAGTACTACTTGCACAGCTTGGCTGACTAAGGATTCAGGACTTGGACTGATCATTTACAAACACACACACACACACACACACACACACACACACACACACATATATATATATATATATATATATATATATATATATATATATATATATATACTAATTACATGAAAAAGGAGTTAAGATTGTTACTTGAATGAGTGTGAGTTCTGATTTGTTTTGCATCATTTTTGACTTCAACTGTTTTGTCTGATATTAGCAGCTTTGAAGCAGGAGGCTGATTATTACCCTTGTTTGCCCTCATGCTGCGTTGGAAATGGCTGAACGTATTGTTGTGGGGCATGCCACAATGGGGTCATGTTTCTGATGACCTGCAACAGAGTCCACAGGAGGGGATGCCCCGGCTGCTGCTGCACCAGCTCCTGCTCCTGCCGCCGCTGCTCCAAGTTCAGAGCTCATGTCAGGTAAATCGTCATGTGTTATGCACCAACCTACATGTGCACTTTTTGTGCAGAGTTCGATTATTTCACTCTTTCTTATGCCTAAAGCATAAGTCAACTGCAATTTCAGCTTAGATTTTAACCAGTTATCTTCCTTTACCATGGAGAGAGAGTTCTGTTTTAGATGTCTCTGAGACCCACTTTTTCTGTGAGTGTGCAAGTGTGCTTTTATGTGATTTTCCTCCCTTTATCTGCAAGTATTTATCTCATTTTTGCATGATGTTTCATCATGTGGAGTTTAATGCCCCACATTAAGTAAGAACATTATATATTAGAAGTTTTGTAGTGGTGTCAATCTTTAAAACTACATGCTTTATAGTGTTATTCTCTGATTCCTTTAACTTTAGTAATATTTTATGTAATAATCTACCAGTATCTCTTTTATAAAAAAAAAAAATCCCCTTATATTTCAGTGTTCAATTTAAAAGGGTATCCATATATTTAGATAATTATTGTCATTATTAAGTATACGTACAGTGCCTGGTAAATGTTCAGCAAGGCCAACAAAATGCTTTAGAACATTGCATATTTATTCATATTAATCACCCAGTCAAAGCCCAGAGTCTGATTCTATGACATGACTTGAAAATTGATGTTAACGTTAAAGAAGAGCAGACCAACGTTTTAGTCTGATTGTGTAAAAGGGCTAAAGACTGTGACTGTGATGACAACTAAAAGCCTAGTTTTCGATCTCTTCCAATGATCAGATCAAAAAGGAACACAAACTACACACTTTTTAATAATACATTACATGTTTATGCTGTATTGAAAGTTGGAATGTCTTTCATTTAAATGATCATAAAACAATCTAGCTCTATATTTGCACTGACTCCAAAATGCTTTATTAATTTCTCCAGAAACCAAATTCCAATTTCTTACCAATGGAGACATGTTGGTTGTCCATCAGGAATTGTAATTTCTATGTAGAATATCTGCTTAAAGGACCTTTCTGAGAGAGTTGTTTGTAACAGAAAAAGACACGGCACTGACACATGTCCCTTGAGCTGCGAACAAAACTTTTACTCTAGAGTAAATATCAAGACAGTTCACTTTATCATCTATGGACTCTTTAATGATTGTTTAGATTTATTTTCGTAATGGGAGCATGTGCAAAGTTCAAGTGGTGGGGTACTTTTTTAAGGCACCATTGCACACCACTGAGTCGGTTGCTGGAGACAGATTGGATTGTTTCCGTTAATGTGACCACGTAAACTTTTTTTTTCTCTTTCATCAAATTCACAATCATCTCCCACTGTTCCTATATATCTAAGGTCTGCTATACTGCTGCTCTATGGCCTAACCTCTTATCTTTTTCCATTCTGTACAATCTCTTTATCATGCGCTATTTAAAAAGCTTAATATTTCCTTCTTACTTTGGCATATCTGCTTTTTTTGCTATCCTGTCTTTTCCCTACACTTCTCCCCTGCTCTCTTGCTCCATCTGGCTCTTGGGCTGGCTCATTTCTTGCTTCCTGCCATTTGATTGGGTGAGTTGCCTTGCTCTTTAATACGCTAAATTCCCACAGTGCACTGCATTGCAGTGGCACAGCCACACTGCACTGTTCGCTCCACCAACAGATGCTGGATGATGACAAAGACTGTCTGTGTCAAACAACAACAATATACATCACATGTGATTGGTCTTCTTTGAAGTTAGAATCAAATCATATATATATATAAGCATATCTAATTAAAATGTTTTCCTTTATTTAATTGTATATAAATCTGACATTTACACTCTTAATGTTATTTCCTTCCTTATTATAAAGATACTCTTTGTCCTCATCTGAATTCTGTATTGTTTGCTATCACAGTAGTATTGATCATCCCCACTGCTCTGTTGTCATGGAGATATCTTTTGGTCGTCATAGTAATCTCCAGTAATAAAGAAATGTGCTACAGAATTGCCGTGTAGTGTGAGAATAGCTCACACAGGATGCTAATATTTCCCTTAATCTCCTATCCTGCCCCTTCCTTTCTTCTACTCCCTCCCTCCTGTAGTATTTGATGGGCTAGGCGACATAATGAAGCCCACTGTGACCCCTCAGGCGGGTGATGTTGACACCTCTATGGCTAACATGGCAAGTAGTAAGTAGTAATAAGTGCAGACTCCAACACTGAAAAATGATAAATGTGTATGTTTAAAAAAAATGGCTTGTTATACCCTCCCGGCGTCAAACATATAAAGAGCAATAACCAAGAAGACACAAACAGCAGAGTTTATTATTCCCCAAAATAGAGCTTTACAGATATTGCATACTGAGTCTTTCAAGACTGCTGGACAAGCTATTTTGGAAAAGCAACTAGTTTGCACAGTCCATCTGTCACAAATGTTCCTGTACAACAAATACTGAGATTGAAAAACAGCAGAATGCAATTACTTTTATTTAATCTAATCATAAGAAGAACAGGACATGTATCCAAGTACTTTGATTTCTATTAATTTGCTTTTAGTTGTTCCAAATTTTAAATTCCGAACTAATCAGGATACATTAGAACACCTAACCAATTTGAACCCCTATTTTGTATCTCCTTGTTGCCATTTTGTCTCTACATACTTGTCTCTTTCATATGTGTAAACAAATCATCTATTATCCATGTTGTTGAACTGTGTATTCAATTGTTACTATAACTAGCACTTTTTGGTGACCAATTTTCGATAAAGAAATTCATAAAAATGCTTAGATGTATAGCTGAAAGCTTATAACTCTTCATTATTATATGAAAATGTTTCAATTTGGAACCTGTTTCTACTCAGGATAGTTCTAGTTCCAATTTGGGCCAATTAACTGTTTTGAAATATACAATAATATACTATTATTCAACCAGTAGAACTCGCAGTTACTTCCTGTGGTTAAAAGTAACTGGAGTCACATAACCATATTTTCTAACGATTTACTTTTAATAGATTGTAAAACGTTCTTTTAAATTATCAGTGTTACTAACACACGGTTGGTGGTAGACAGCCCCCTTTTATACTCAATTAGGCTGGCTAATGACTGAACCATAAAATTATAAATCAGTCAGTGGAAAAAATGAGCCGCGCTCTACATGCTAACATTTCACACAAGTCATTGTTGTTAAGACAAACAAAAAGGTTTAAAAAGAAACCTTAAAATTGCTTTAGGCTGCTTCAAATTTCTTTATATTTTATATCAAAGAGAGATTTATTTAATCTTCTAACTAATCTGATCTTTTATGTTCAACAAAGAACTACTGTACTGAATAGTACCTGAATGTTAAGTCCTTATGCAAAATGTAAATATTTCTGTACAACGACAGACATGCAGATGAACAAACAACAGCCTGATTGACTTTTTTTGAAAAAGTTATGATTGAGAGGGCCAGGATGGTGGAGATCTGTAGAAAAGTCAATAGAAATGGGGCCAACGGTGTGATTTTAATTTATAATAACATACCAATATTAAGGAATTTTTTTTATGAATTAAAAGCTCTAGACATATAGTAAAATTCTGATTGATGGGAAACAAGACTAAAAGTTTTTGTACTATGTTGTATGACTTTCCATTATTGCAGTGAAACAGTGATTTTGCAGAACCTTTCTCTCTTTCTCTCTCCTCCTTAAAGACCTCACAATGGGAACTGCAGCGGCTCCTCAGGTAGCTCCCCCTAGTTGGGGTGCACCCATGGTAAATGTTGTCTGTGTCTTATAGCATGGAGTGGACCCGCATGGCAGACAGGGCACATCAGAAGCAGCAATCTCAAAGCGTTGCCTTCATTTGGTTCTCCAGTATCCAGGTGTTAACCATAGGGTGTGTAAATAGGGGATGCAGGATTCAAGATGGAATGTTTCATACAGATTTTGACAACCAATGCTGCTATTTTACCATCCACCATAACAAATCCAGGAAGATTTAATTTTTACTTTGCATTAACTTTATTTAATACCTGGAGTTTGTACTGGAGAGTGATGAAGAGACATATGATATGGCTAAATTACAGCTTCTTATTCTTTTCAATAAATATCTTAAGCCTTTTTTGAATTCACTCCATATAGTTCAGCTCACTTACTTTTTTGGAAATTTGTACTTACCCCTCATTATGCATGTTTCAGTAAAGAGTAGAACTTTACAGCTGGAGTAAGGTTGTTTTTTTTGCGGGCTTGTCTTTGTTTTTGTGTGCCATACTGTTTTGTCTGTCTTCAGCACCACTTTTGGATGATGCTGATTCACTAGAAAGCATCAGCACTTTCTCTTCCTACCCTTATGTGTGTTGGTTTTGCGGCATTTCTCATTTATGTTATAATATGGTAATATCCAAACTCCTCGTGTCCGTCCCCTCCCCACCACACCTTTAGAACATTCCCATGGGTCCTGGTCCTTATATGGGGACTTACCCCAGCTTCATCATGGTAAGATGACCCCTCCTGTCCACTCCAGTAATGTCCCATTTGAACATTATCGGATATTGATGGACAATCAGCTACTTAGGTGTCCCTCCCTCTGGCATCAGATGCCAGACAATAAATCTAATTTATGTTTCCTCCCTCCGTGTGTCTCTATATAAGGCTGGGGCTCCAGTTGCCGGAGCGCCAATGATGCCCATGGCTAGACCAGGCTTTCCTGCCGCAGGAGCGGCCCCTGGAGCACCGGTAACAAGCTCCGAAGTGGGCTACTAATTGCAAACATGCAAAAAAAGGGTGAATGCTAAAATCGAATGTGCTTGCAGATGTCTCCTGGAATGGCCCAAAGCCCAAGAAAGCCCCCACCACCCAGGAATGCTCTGGATGACCTGAATATCAAGGACTTTATGTAGACTGCCTGACCCATAAAACCCAAGGTGGGTCTGCTCAATTTTAATGAATTAAATCTCTGCATTGTTTACTACAATTTGTTGTTTGTGGTATAAATTTGTCGCAAATTATTACAAATCATAAATCACCCAAATGTAATGACAACTTTTCCCTAATTTTCCAAATTAGGGAAAAGTTGTCAAAAGTTGTTATATAAACATGGTTGTGTAACTGTCCTGATTTGTTTTTTTTTTTATCTTCAACCACTGAAGGTTTGTCATTGTGTCTGGAGCTCTGTGGATATGGATGTCTGTACCCGTCCCAGCCTCTTCTTCAGCCAGCCAGCCAGCTATCATCTCTTCTATCGTTCCCCTCTAACCTTCCACCAGCTTTGACTGAAAACCCACCCTCCTTATCTAATGTTGTAGCACAACTGTGAATATGAACCCTAGATACAGAAAACCAGTTATGTTTCAATGTGTGTGAGTGTGTGTGTATTTCAGTGTTAACCTTTACTTAATATACTATGGAAAGATAAATGACCAAAAAAAAAAAAAAAAATCAATAAATGTGTATTTAGATTCATTCAGCATATCAGCTGACCTGGAATGGTGGACGTGTGTTGGATTCTTTTGGCACCACCAAGGACTGTGTTTGAAGTTAATGTGGACTTTGTTCAGTGTAGCTTCACTCGCCAGCCCCTCAGTCACTCCCCCCTGATGTCCAAACCAGTACTGAGCAATGTTTTGTGTCATTATTAACTTGTACCCATATTAACTCGGGGATTGATCCCCCCACTTTCCAACATCATGCTTTTGTAAAACTATAACAAAATAAACAAAAGCACCAGGACTGAATTCACCCGTTCACCCAGACTTTTAATTGAGCAGATTAGATTTCTGTTTTACTTTCAGTTTCCTTTGTTGTGACATTGTATGAAACATGCAAAAAAGTGAACTGTTCAAATTGACATATGCATTTTAGACTGCTTTAAATGACAGATTTTGCATATTTTCAGTAACCTTTGTTGTTAAAAATGGCATATATAGTATATATATTTTTAGTTACTTTAAATAAATAAAAAACTGCAAGTTTGGTTAAATCTCCCCAAATTTTTTTGTTCACAACTCTCTAAGAAGAGATGCGGTGAATAAAGCTTTTTCTGTGGTGCCCCTGCTGGTGTGAAGTGGTACTGAATTAGTGCATGCAAATGGGCAATCTGGGTTGCAATTTAAAAATCTCAGTGACCTTAATTTTTTTTCTTGGTTTTGAGAGAAGTGAAAGGTTAAATAGAGGATAAAGTTTGCTTTTTTTGGGTCATTTCTGGTGCAACAGAAGTCAGTACATTTGCTCATGTGCAGCCTCTGGGTCCTAAAGGCTTACTGTAAAACAGTCAAGTGTTCACTGGATGTTTCTGTGTTACTTAATTTAAAAAAAAGATGACTGTATTTTACTCCATCGTGGCATTAAGTGGTATTAAACTGTTGAAAGAAAAATAAAGAATAATATGGCATATTGAAAAGATTGTGGATGAATAGTGTTTGTTTGGTATATGAAGGCTGTTTTTTTCATTCTTTTTGTTTTTTATGACGAATGGTATCGTCCACTCTCCCAACATGCATGTAGTCTGAATTAGATGCAATAAAAGACAAATACCACATCTAAACCAACTTTGTTGTTATCCATTTCTTGCTTGGCTGTTAGTTTTACATATTTACAAGTGTTAGCTTTGTTTTGCAACAATAAAAGTATGGCACAGGTGCAGACAATGAAAAAGTTCCCAAAAATTGACCTTCAAATTCTCACAAAAAAATAAAAAAATAAATAATCAAGCAATCAAAATAACTGAAAAAGTTATGGACAGATTGTGCTGAAAATTTCAGATGTGTGCCTCAAGCCAAAGAACATGCCATTACATTTTGGTGGGAATCCAGGTTGTAATCTGGATACAGGAATTTTTTAAAGGTTTCTTAAAAATTATTTGGTGGGAAAAGCAGTCCCCCCTTAAACCAGAAGGAGGCAGCGGTGACTATTGACAGCTTTGTATCGGCTCAACAGAGCCCACAATATTATACTGATGACAAGCATAAGAAACGGGAGCCAAGCTGACAAAGAAGATAGCAGAGTGAATGAAGAAGGTGAGAGCAGAACAGACACCAGAGGCAACAAATTGTGGCTTACTTGTAAACCTATGAAAGGGTTTTAAAGACATTTTGTACCAAAGGTGTATCTCATGCCAAAGAGAAATTAATTAACATATAACGATCCAGATCATGTGTGAGTTTAAGATGGTAGGTGTATATTAGCAAGGCAAATTTATTTGTAAAGCATTTTCCATCTACAAGCACTGCTGTGGCAAAGGAATAGAAAAAATAAAGAGAAGTCCAGTGGGTCAGTCTGCTGGCAGCTTTTTTTCACCCCAAACCAGGGCAGATGTCCCTGTGGTCTCAGTCATCTCCATGACCAACAGTGAGCTTCATGGGTGAAAACACTTAAGCAAGTTCCAAAAACCACTGCTGTCAGAGCTCCTCATCTTAAGGACTCCACTCCCCAGTCAGGACCTGTTAGAGTTTTTCCTCACTCAGATCCGTTTAGTGTTTCACCACAGTTTGCTACACTTTATGAGCACACTCTGTGCCATCCAAAGATCCCTGAACCTCAGGCAGGATCAAGTGATGAAACAGAAAACTGCAAGAGCTCCAAGGTTGTTAACACCTTAAAGGCCCCACTGTTAGAGCTCCAAGGTTGTTAACACCTTAAAGGCCCCACTGTTAGAGCTCCAAGGTTGTGAAACCTCGGCAGGCGCTTCAACCTGTGCAGTTCTTCAGTGCTGGTTCCTTGTGGAATGTTAGTTGCTTCCTCCTCTCTGGCTTTACATGTGAGTTTCCCCCTGATATTTGCTGGGGTTTTTTTTGTTCTCAGTATTTTTGTGTTTTTGATGTTTGCCTCAGTTTGCATTAAATCTACAAGAACTCATTTCTGCCTCACTCACCTCTGCTGTAGTGTCCTCAAGCAACCTCACCCCCCTTGTTGACAGGATCTTGGGAGTTTCTTGGAGAGCGGGGTTTGGCAGAAATTGTAGCTGAGAGTCCAACAGCAAAACAAAACTGCATGCCCCTACACAAATGATCATGGTTATTACCAGTATGGACTTTGGTCCCCAATGTCAAAAATTAATACCATGGCTTATGGCCCATAACATATTTAAAAAAAAGTTAAAATTAAAGTCTGTCACACACACAGCACATAAAAATTTTAAGTGATTAAAATATTTGGACTGAACAGTTATGTGGTTTCAAAAGACAACAGTAAAAAAAAGGTCTACTTTTTGCCAGGGGCATAAAGATGAGACTCTGCAGGACTTAACAAAAGTAATGCAGTCTGATTTAGCCAAGATGCGCCCATGATGGGTGCATCATAGAAAGAAAAAGGGTAAGTGAAGTGATGCACTCGTCATGCCTGTTATCTACTGTACAAGCCTGTGGGGGCAGTGCAACCATCTGGTGTCCCTGCAGTGTTCCCTGTAGTGTGTCAGGTCAATATTCAGTAATAGTAACCAAAAGGATTATGTCAGCTAACTATTTAAATGTACTGAATGACCAGTTTATTCTGTCAGTAGTGATTTTCTTCCCTAATGCATATTCTAAGAGCACAGTTCCAGCATTTATCAAGCTCAAATTTTTAAAGTGGTTCAAGGAGAATCAGGCATAATTTTTGATTGACCACCACTGAGTCCAATTCAAGTTATTTATATTGTGCCAATTTACAACACATGTCATCTCAAGGCACTTTACGGAGACAAATCAACCAGATTATACAGTCAAAGTGATTCAAAATTTTATATCTAAGTAAGACCTGTTGATTGCATTGAGTCATTGACTTGAAGGCAATACCTCACACCGCTTGTAGTGACATTGGAGAGAACCTTCCCTTTTAACAAGAACAATCCTCCAGCAGACCAGGGTCAGTGTGTGAGGTCATCTGCCAAAGCCAGTTGGGGTTCGAGGAGACAGAAGCAGGCATACAGAAAGAAGCAGAAATACAAAAGGCTCCACGGGTGCCCAATCCAGGAAACACACAACCAGGCAGATGAGCTCCAAGCCAGCTCCCATGTCAGAGGATGAAAGAGAGCACATCCAGTTAGTCACAGTCAGAGAAACAGGACTACAATGAAAAACAGGTAAAGCTCCAACATCCACAAACAAAGATGTTGATGGCAGCAGGACAGCCAATATTTCTCACCAGGATGGTGCCATACAGGAACAGGCCAGATGAAGCTACTATGAGGAAAAGCAGAGGGAGCATAACATTAGAGATTGAACTAACAATTTCTGCAGGATGGGAGAATAGAGATAGAATGAAGCAGAATGATGAAAAAGGGTCCCTATGTCCTCCGGCAGTTTAAAACTATAGTAGCATAACTATAGAGATAGCTCAGGATAAGCTGAGCCACTCTAACTTTAAGCTTTATCCATGTGAACGCCATTAATAATCCTTGAATATGCGGAAAAAGGCTATGTAAGGTGGCCAGAATCTTCTACCATCAACACAAGTTCTTTAAAATTAAATGCAAAACCTAATAGAATGAAATCTTGTGCCATTACAAAAGCTTATTAAAACAAAGCAACAGCAAATACATCCCAAAATAAATTTTAATGCATGTGGCCTGATTTTGGTGATTGTTTTGTTTCCTACTAAGAAAGATAGTAAAATTTGGTGTTTTTTTTTTTATGGACATTTTTGTGTAAATACAATGTCATGCTAAGTTTTGAAGGCAAGACCTTATATAACACTTTGTAGAAAAATACATGTGATGAAACATATATTAAAAGTTATAGTTGAATTAGAGCAAGACATCAAATAAAATGTTACATCTACATAGTATACAGATGGCAACAGCAGATACACTTACACTGGAAAAATACATATATTTTTAGCCTTCACAGGAAAACATATATATGATTAATGTGGTTTGACAGGGTTCCTAAACTGAAAAACTTTGTTCTCTCTTAAAAAGCAGCCCCTCATTATATTATTTTATAGTTTGTTTCCTGTTCTTGGCCTCACTTTTTAAGTAAATCAGTAGATAGCAGATTAATTTGTCAAATGTACAAAATAAAGAAGAAATATGATATGAAAATAGATCATGAGAATTCAGCATGCAAAATATGATAGCCGATTACACAAAAGCATTTTGTGGAGAACTATCCTCTCTTCATTTGCATCAGGATATGAGCTGCTTTATGAGTGCGTTTTGCTTCTGTGACTTTCAGAGAACCATTTGCTCAGAGCACATTGTTCCAGCACGACTCATCATGGATGCATCCAATTTCACTGGGCTTATTTCTAATGTCTCTGATGTTTCTGATCTACCTCAATCACTTTGGAACCTGCAGCTTCTGTTCCCTGCACTGGTGTTGTCTCTCTGTTTTCTACTCGGAGTTCCTGGAAACATCACAGTGATTATTCTCAAGCCTAACTGGAGGAATTTGTCAAGTCTTAGCCAGAGTTTGATCCTGAATCTGGCCATTTCGGACCTTCTCTGTCTCTTGACACTTCCTCTTTGGATTTACTCATATCTCTTTGGCTGGCCATTTGACCTGATTACTTGTAAACTTGTGTCATACCTTGTTTACTGCAGCATTTATGGTAGCCTGCTGACTGTGACTGGATTGAGCATTCAGCGCTACCTTGTTGTTGTGCGTCAGAGAAGATGCCATCAGGTACAAAGAAGGATGCTGCTGTTTATGCTCTGGCTTGTTTCCATCATCCTTTCCATCCCTGCTTTGATGGTTCGAAATCTGCGAACAAATCAGCACTGGATTAGTTGTGAAGCACAGTATTCTTCTGCCTTCCAGCAGGTGGCTGTTCTCCTTGCAGAGACTGTGTTTGGATTTGTTTCCATTTCCCTTGTGGCATTGTCATGTGTTTTCCTTTACAGAAAAGTTCATCAGACTGCCTTTTTCAACCATTCACAGACAACAAAACTTCTAAGCAGTATCATTGTCAGTTTTTTTGTTCTGTGGGCTCCATATCATACCATAAATCTAATGGGAGTGGCAGCTGTATGTCTAAAGAATGATGCCTTGTTAAAGTTGTTTAGAGAGATTGTAGATATTTACAAAGCAGTGACATTTATAAATAGCTGTCTGAATCCACTCCTGTATGCTTTCACATCTAGAAAGATGAGCATGTTTTGCAAAAAAATTAAGCAGTTGCAGCACAAAATTAGAAATAAACAACCACAGATTAGTGTAATTGCAGAGCCATAATGATAATAATATATTTCTAATTTTTTTCTGTAAGTAAAACAGACTAAATTCTTCATATGTAATGTAATATTTTTGCAAGCTATACTGCACAGCAACAGATAGAATACTTTAAAACAGGATGTAGAGGATTTGTATTTATTTAATTTTCAATTAAGAGTCATGGAGGTTTGAATTAGCTTTTTCCATAGATTAAAAAATCTTTATTAAATTGCTATTTTCAATACTGTATTTGTTTTCTGATAAGTATTAAAAACAAATTTATTGTTCACTTAGAATAAAAAATCAATTTCAAAACTTGCCTTTATAAAATCTTAGTCATCAGTTAAGGCTACAATAAAATGGGTTTATTAGTTTTCCACCCGTCCAGGAGCCTTGCCAAAGGGAAAAATTATTCCATCTATTTTTTTTTTTTTTACCAAATTCACAGGAAACATGGTATTAATAATATGATGGAATTTGAAAGCCCTGGTCATTAATGTTCCCCTTGAAGCTTTAGCATTGCATGCATGTTGTGGATGTGACAGCTCTCAGTTAAAATCACAAGCTTGAGTTTTTGTACAGGACATTGTCACATTTATGGTCCTTTTTAATATATTGCGTTTTGATCTCAAAGTTATTTGATTGTCCATATTTATAACTCTAACTATGTCTTATTCGGCAAAGTTCTCTCTGCTTTCTACTTGGAGCTCCTGGAAACACTTCAGTGATTCTTCTCAAGCCTAACAGGCAGAATAAGTCATGCTTGATGTTAAATCTGACCATCTCTGACCCTCTCTGTCTGCTGACCCTGGATTCATTCATTCATTACTCTCATAATGGACATTCACCCTCGTGACTTGAACATTTCTAGGATACCTTGTGTAGTGCGGCATTTATGCTCCTGACTCGTAATGAATTGATCATCCTGCTCTATCTTGTTGTGATGTGCCAGAGAGGGCAAACTTTAATATAAAAGAGGATACTGATTTTAGTTAATGTTTCCATTCCTGCTTTGAGATATGCAAAAAATTTCGGAGTGGATTAGTTCTACCTTCCAGCAGGGGCTGCTCTGGTTAGTTCACTCACAAAAACAGTTTTAAGCAGTATCATTCAGTTTATTTGTTCTCTGGGCTCCAAATAAAAAGATAAATGTAATGGGAGCGGTAGCTGTATGTTTAAAGAATGACCATCTGTTAAGTTTATGTGGGAAGACTTGTGGTAGTTTTGGGGGATTGACATTTGTAAATAGTTGTCAAAAAATCAACTATTGCATGCCTTTAACTCTAGAAAAATGTGCAGCATTTGCAAAAAAAGCTAATGTGTTGTAGCAGAAGTTTAGAAATTATCAAACAGAGATCAATTCAGAATCATAATGGTAATGATACATGTTGACAAGCGAAAACAAGCATTTCATCTATTGGTGAAATAATATTTGTGTACCCTACTATTTACAGAATGAAATATAATTTTCTTTAGAGCAGCTTGTAAAGGATTTGGGTTTAAGCACTTGTTGAATTAAAAATCATGGTGGCTCAGATGAGCTTTATCTACACAGGAAAGATCTTTGTGAAAATTATGTTCTTGTTGTGAATGTATTTTAAGTTATCAAAAAAACATATGGGATTTTCTTTAAACAAAACCTCTTTTAAAACATGTAAATGTGCCTTGTATAGCAATTTTTTCACCTGGACAAAATATTGCTATGTATTTCAATAACAGACAAAATAAAGCATTTATTACTGTATTTAATTGATTCATTTTACATCATTTTACTAATACGTCATCCGCCTCTGTTCTCATAATTTTTTAATCTTTTGCTTTTCATTTTCATCACACTGACCACATAATGACTAGGCAAAGCTATTTTTTCCTGAGAACCGAAACCCTTACTCAGAGTGGCCTAAAGTGCTTGAACATGCTTTCAAATATGTTCCCTTTTTGCATTTACATTTCTGTCAAACATGGAAATTTTAACTTCCCATTTCCCTGCAGGTAATTCAGTGTCAGTTCTACTTCCATTTTAGAGTACATGTTGGTTAGAATGAGGTGCACAGACTAAAGGCATTGAGTTCTTTGAAGGTAGAATAATTGATCGTTTGATAGAGAAAGAAATTATTTGTCAAATAATTTTTGTTTTGTGATGAAGTTTTTTTAAAAATCAGTTATAAAGTAATATGTTACAGCACTTATATAAGCTTCACACTCCCAAAGTTTTCCAGACAGCTCTAATTGTATCAATAAGTTATTTTTTTCTTTGTTATTATATTGGGGAAACAGAAAAATATTAACTGTTTATACCAAATTTCTGAGCATTTATTTATTCAAACAACTTTTTCTAGCTATTTTCAGGTGCTCAGGATATAAGTTATGCAAGTGGTGAAGCATGGTAGTGGAAGCACCATGCTTAGGTGATGCATCTCTTTTGCAGGCAAACACAAACAAGATAACAGACACAAAAAGTTATAATTCTGAGAACCGTACCACAAAGTGAGGTTATTCTGAGAAAGCATTTTGTAAAGTTTGCCAAACTTTTAAATTTCATATGGGGAGGGGGCAGATTTGATAGACCATTTCAAGAACCAATGCCACTGTTCAGCTTTCCATATCACCTACAGAACCACGACTCATTCCCAGATAGACACTCCTCCTACAAGAAGAACCAGTCAAGCAAGTTAGTTGGAATATCACAGCGGCATAGAAGTCGTCCACTGGATTCTTTGCTGAAGTGTAGCGGCGACTCCAGGCAAAACACATGCAAAATTTGCTAAGTTCAGTATGAACATATGTTAAGACTCTACAAAACACTTTTTTTTTAGACAGTGCCACAGGTTTAAGATACCTTACAGGAGGACAGTTATCCCAGGCCTAATGCCAAAGTTACAATGGAAAGGGCAAGAACTGAGGTCCTTTAACTGTTAGATTGGCCAGACAAACCCTAAAGTTAACCCTGTGAGTAAAAGCTAAATAATTCTATAGAATTAAAAAGCTGGTAGAGATATATTCTAATAAACTGCAGATGTAAGTGTAAAGGTTGGATTACAAAGTACTGACACAAATGGTCTAAATAAAGATGTTGTTAGACAAAAAAGAAAAAGTTTCAATGGCTATGAAAACCTTACAAGGCACTGAAATTGTTTGTTTTAACTACTAAAGTATTAACTATTAGTTAAAAAGTGAAATAAAAGACCAATAATGCAGTTTCCATGAGCAGGGGATTCTCCTGTGGAGGAATCTCTTATATAACACTCAGGCAATGCAAAAACTGCTGTAGAGTATAAGTACAGTGGGACAAAATATAGCACAAAAAGCGTTGCATCGTACTACAGGTGAGTAATATAACACTTTTGACATTTGATTTGCTGATCAATTGGGGCTTGCACCCACCTTATCATTTCTACAAGATATAAATACGAGATGGAAAAAGGAAAATCATTTCTGTTTTTCATATGCTGGACGATGATGATAAAATTTAGTTAAGAAAAACTCTACAAAAAAAGGACATTAGAAATAGTAATGGTAACAGATGTGTCACCAAAACTGAGCATACAATGATAGAAAAGTTATCTTCTGGTTATCTTCTAGAAGGCTATGGTAATCAGGTAATTCATAGCTAAAGGATTGCAAATGTTAAAATCACAAATGAGTTTGAGTGTATTTATCAGGTTTTCAGCTGTTTTTCGTGCCAACAACATCGGACTGAGCATTTCCTATTGCTAACAAAAGATGAGGCTGGATGTTCCAGCCCCTTTTTTATTGGTTTGGCCTTTTTTTCAATTCCTGTTTCACTGACCACTTTACTTCCTTGACAGCTCATTAACTACCTTTTTACTACTCAGTGCACAGCTTTTACAGCCAACTGCACCATGGATCCTAACACCAATGTGTCTACTCAAGTACTTCTACCCCCTCGTAACTGGAAATCAAGTGGGCTGATCCCCGCGGTGGTTTTGTCCTTTTGCTTTCTCCTGGGAACTCCTGGTAACATTGCTGTGATTATTCTGAAGCCTAACTGGCAGAACATGTCTCACCTGAGTCGGTGTTTGATGCTGAATCTGGCAGTTTCTGACCTGCTATCTCTGCTGACTCTCCCCATGTGGATTTACACTTTGCTACAAAGCTGGACATTCGGCGAGGTGCCTTGTAAGCTTCTGGGTTATCTTGTGTACTGTAGCCTTTATGGAAGCCTGTTGATTGTGACGGCTTTAAGTGTGCAGCGCTACATTGTGGTAGTGCAACGACGGAGGTGGATTCAGGTACATCAAAGACTGTTGATGGTTCTGCTTTGGATTGTTGCTATGATCCTGTCTATCCCTGCTTTGGTGTTTGAACAACTGGGAACTAACAAGGACTGGACGTACTGCTACCCTCAGTTTTCATCCAAAGCTCAGGGAGTGGCAGTGCTACTGTTAGAGACCACATCTGGATTTGCTTCCATTTTTGTGGTTGCCTATTCCTACATTTGCCTCCACAGGAAAGTTACCCAGGCAGCCTTTTTCAATTATCCACAGACAACCAGGCTACTAACTAGTATTGTTATAAGTAACTTTGTACTTTGGACTCCTCTTCATGCTATAAACATGTTGGCCTTGGGATCTATAAGCTTCAATAATAAAAGTCTGTTGGAGTTTTGTATAGATATATGGGACATTGTCAAAGCCCTTGCATTTCTAAATAATTGCTTTAATCCACTGCTGTATGCCTTTACTTCTCAGAAAATTTGCATTGTTTGTCAAAACCAGGAAAATTTACAACGGATAAGAATTTCACAAACACAGGATGCAACTACAACTGCAGAAGCTTCGATTGACATTTGAAAATGTACAGAACAAAGAAAAAGCTGTGTCTTTTAGCCAAAACATGCCCTTCTCCTCTAATTAATTGATCAAAAATTTAAACAAAATACACCAAGTAAAATCGCTTTTATAACAGTTGCAACTTGTCATTGTAATTGATTTTTTGTTACCGTCTTTTACCAGAAATCTTTTATTACTCTGTCTTGTGTTATCTGTATATTTTTTTCATGGACCATTAAGTTTTTTTTTCCCTTTCTT